AACCAAATGCCTGGTGAGTGGCCTCATTTTGTCTAATGATACTTGAGTAAAGAGGTGATGGTGCATATTAGGGGTAGAGAACTGGTTTGGGTGGGGAACCCAACCTGCACACCACAGATCATGTGAATGAGTATGCCCCCTCCCAACTTGATTTCACCCCCTTGCCCAGATTTTTTTTCTGGGCTCTTTTTTCTTTGTGGTAAAAGGAACCAAGGAGAAAGGAAACTCACTCAGGCATAGGAAACAGAGATCTCCCCCCACACTGCCTTGGGGGTGAGCCTTCTTTCACAGGCCACCCCCAGTCCCACTGCTATCCCCAACCTCCAACTGCAGGTAGCAGTGATGATACAGGTTATTTTGGCTCATGTATGTGGGGAAGAGTGGCTGATTTCACCGGTGGAGGTGCGTTAGGTCTAGGCCACCCAGTGTCCCCACCTGGGAGTGGAGGTAGCAATAGAGAGGTTTTCTGGGGTGTTCTTCAGGGGTGGGGCTTATATTCCGAGCCTTGCCCCCTAGAGGAAGCTCAAGAGGCAGCACTGAGCAGGGGTCCCATGCTGGCCTGATCAGTCTCACAGGCTGGAGGTTTCGCTCCCTTAGCTGTACTTGAACCAAACCGAAATGAAATGAAATGCAGAATCCATAGGATCAAGGAGCTTCATACAGCCAAAGCCTACTTAAAATCCTCAGTGCAATGGGAGAACCTTTGTCCTACATGCATTTCCCAGATCAGACAATGCAATCCAGACTTCCACATGTCACAATAGGGCAGCCCGGAGAGTATGGCCGACCTTCTGTACCACTGAAAAATGACTCCAAAAAGTGTGATGAACTGCACAATGGAAAAGGTCTATATAGCATGAGCAGAAAATTGGGTTACGGTCTATTAAGGGGCCACCAGCTGGGCTGGTCTAGCCAAAGAGGCAAACTTGGCAGCCACCTAGGCTGCCTAAATTCCAGGGGTACATTGGAACTGAATCAAGTTGGAGCTGAATCAAAATCCCCCTGGTCCCACCATTTCCAAGCAGGGACACTGGGAAGCCCTTTTGGTTATTTGAGGTGTGTGTGCTCATGCAGGTGCGACTGGCTAAGCCACATCTCTCCCACCTCTGTCGCTGCCAACTCCAATGTTTATTTTCTCCTAATCACTCAGAACAATTCTACATTGTGTTATAGTATCATTCTCGCAGATCATGGAGATTTAAAGATCACACCAGAAGCAAGCAAGGACTGCAGCCGGTTTTGCATGGAAAGTTTCCTTTCACTGCCTGAAATGTGAAATTGGGAAAGGAATGGCCATTTCACCCACTCCTTCATTGTAAGCTCCCAGAATTCAGGGCCAAACTTCTGAAACTGTAGAAGTTTGTTGCAGTATATCTTCCATTTTAGATATATAAGTCCTGCCTACGTGTTTGGGGCAGGTGCATATCAATGCACTGGCTATGTGTCATTAATAAGGAAATGATAACGAGAAGACAGTTTAAAGGAGCTTTGATGCTGTTGCTCAGTGTATGGTAATCTGGGGGAGCATGTTTGTGGGGCAAACAGAAAACCTTGGGCCCGCTGTTATCATTAGTGAGCCAAGAGGCACAACAGATCGTGTGCCTCTTGCACCTCATTGTCTGGGACACATTGCTTGGTATTAGCCGTCTCTGGTCCATGAGAAGCTTCCAGTTCACTGGAGTTTTTGGCACTCCCTTAGGAAGGCCTGCATCATTCGCATCTACAACACTGGAGGCTTTTGACCGAGGAAGGAAAAATAGGTTGCTCTGTTTGTTGAATGATTTCCTCATATGCTTTTGGTTAACAGAAATGTAACAAAATAGTTGGGACAGTGAGCACAGTTTGCATCACTCATTTACTGTAATCAGTCTAACGTTTCAGGCATCAATAAAGTTAACTGGTTTGTATTTAATGTCAAAGTAATTACTCCCTAATTACATCAATTTGCCTCTTTTTAAAAAATAAAAAAGTAAAGCCGAAGCAATAAACCTTTCACTCTCCACATTAACAGGAGGGGGTTTGACACTGGATTCTAATATAGGAAAACTAGTTCCATAACATACTAGTGTAAATATGTCAGGTGTACATCTAAATTATCTTTGTCAAGGAAGAGTTTAGTATCCAGCACTAATCTACTCTTTCTTACAGATTGTAAGGAATAAATAGGTTTTGGGAGATGCCAAGTTGAGTCACTTCTCCTCATTTAGACACCTTTAATAGATTTGCTTTTTCCTGTAAGAGGAATCTGTCAGCAAACATCTTAGGTTCTGTTTTACTCCTGTTCATTCACATATCTTTAAACTCACTTAACCTCATTCTATCTGGCTAATACTTTATCTTTTTGTGCTTCAAAAATGTTAATGTTATCACAATGTTAGAGCAGAAAAATGCCTTAGTTTGAAATTTCATTCCAGATGAAATCAGTCTTTGTGTCCCACACTATTTCTCAATGAGCAATACATCTGCTTTTAGATTTCCTTCTTTGCATTCCCCCAGACTCTTCCACAAAGCTATTCTGCTCATATTTCCAATTTGTACAACATCTTCCACCTTATGCCACCATATAGCTCTGCATATTTTTTATTTCCAATGAAGAGTTTCCAAAGATCTGAGGCAGAATATGAAGATCATCATTGCCCATTCTGTGTTTGATTTAGCATGTCTTATTTGAATGAACTGAACAGCTTGCAATTCATGTTTTATGCAACCATAGATAATGCTGTGTCTAAGTACACAGCAACAGCTTGACAACCTGAAATGGTCGCCACCTATCAGCTAGCTATGTTGTGAGTCAAAGTCTTGCCATCAAAAGCAAGTTTATTATATGAAATGGGGTGGAGAACCTGAGGGAGACTTTCTGGGCCAAATCTGGCCATGCCCATTTCCTCTGGTCACACAGCCTTTCTCCTGATAACTGATCATTGGGTGGTTTCCTGGCTTCTGTAAAGTTTTTCTCCCATTCTAAAAGGTTGAAATGGAAGGTTTATTTCTGGTAGTAGGCACTTTAAGTTACAACATGCTATGCTTTTTGGTTTTGTTTTTAGTGTTTTTCCCATGCTGGGCCCTACCCCATTTGCTTTCAGTCCTACGCACTAATGAAATGAAACCCCCAACAGCAAACCCAGGGAATCCGGCGTTCATGGAAAAGAGGTTCTCCATGCAAGAAGCTTCCCAGGTGAGCAAAGCCACTCCACAAATTGTATGATGCAACCTTCAGTCTGTGTCTGCTCCGTTTCACTGAGTCTTGAAAATCCTATGGTTGTTCCTAGAAAAACATGAACTAATGATATGAGGAAAGCAAATGTGTTTGTTCAGATCTCTAAGCTCAACATATGTTTGTGGCTATTTGTGCTCCGTAGGAGAATAATCAAACAGAAAAAGGCATCATAGCAGACTATATTTTTAATCTAAAACAGATTAAATTCAAAGTTTAGCATTATAAAAAGTTATCAAATAAATTTGGAGTAAACATGTTTGTTTTTCTTTTGACAAAGATATGCATACATTTGCCTTTTTCCTTCTCCTCTGGCCGCAAGACTGTTTTCTTTTGCTCAACTTCAATTTGTACAAAATCTTCCAGCAGTATATCACCATGCAACTATATACGCAGATATAAATGCAACACAGAGGCTGAGTCACAACATGATTGCCAACAGTTATTCTACCTATAGTTCAGTGTGTCTTGTTTTAATGAAAAAAAGAGATTACTGCTCATTGTTACAATCCCTCTGGTCCACTTCACTTTTTTTTCCTTTTATGCCTGCAATCTCTCTATCCTATACAAGGATCTCTTTGGCTGCTGACAATTTATTGCTGCCCAAGGACTGAGGTTCATATCTATCTATCTATCTATCTATCTATCTATCTATCTTTGCTGTGAAGTTCACATCTGCAAGTTCTTGCTCCCCTAAGGCATTCCAGAAAAGGGGTGAAGAAAAAAAAATCCACCCTAGCTCTGAATGATAGGAAAGGTATGAAAGCTTGTAAGAACATCTGCCAGATGGCAAGTTGAATGCCCTCAGGGTGAGCTTGGGCTGATTGCATCTCCTTACCATAACTGTTCATAATTTGTTCAAGTGATAGTTTTTGCTTTGTAGATCCTGGGGCACCACAAGTTGCGTATCACATCCCAGCCAAGTGTAAGGAACAGCGAGGACTGACAAGCCTGCTTTGCCTGCTTTGTCTCCTTATAATTAGATTTACTACACTGAACAAATGTGCCCCTTGATTGCTTTATTATGTCTATTCAAGGGCTTGGCAGGATGAATTTTGAGTGACACAATGAACTTCCTGTCAGTTTGTTGGCTGACTAAATCATCCAAAAATAATAAAAGGAATGGAAAATAAAAGAAACATATTATACTGCTGTCCTCTTAAAAAACAGAATAAGAAAAAATTCTACAAGTACCTAAATACCAAAAGACAAAAAGGTTTTAAAGAATCCATTAGTGGTTGCATTCTTGATGTATGATTGTGCTCTTGATTAAATGAACACAATATTTTGGAAAACAAAAACACCCTCAACACCGGAGAATAGTCTTGGTGCTTCCGTAAGGTGCATAAGAAGGCCACATCAATCTCCAATCCTTTGCTTAGACTTAGCAACCTTGAACACAGAATAAGTAACATTACTGAGTAGCAGTAGACGTCAAATTAAGCTAGTTTTCAGTATAACTTCATTAACATGATTAATAGTTATGCAGAAAACAAGCGATACTACTGAGAAGAAAAATGCTACCTGGCTAGTTTCTATGTTAATGTCTGACAGAACATTATTCTCTCTCAAAAAAAAAAAAGATTAAATGCAAACTTGTACACCTCCAACACGTACAGATTTCAGACAACAACAAAAAGACACATACATTGTATGTGATAATTGTTTAAAACAAGCTGTTACTACATTTTCACAGATTTTTTTTAAAAATGTCTGTTTAAATATCTCATTTCTACAAAGTGAATTTACATTTAAAGTACAAAGTGCAAATACTACAGTTGTTGATGTTTCTTATTGCCTTTTGGTGAGGGAATCTCCCATTTGTCTGAGAGATCTATCTTGGATTGGAAGTGTTCAGCCTTGCTTCTTTGAGGTTTGCTGTCGAAGAGAATTGGAAAAATAAGATCACAAAAATGTGCATGACTTGGAGTATCTGTGATGATATCATAGCAAAAGAAAAGACAAACCATTTTTTCCCCTTAACCATCACTACACACACATACAAATGCACCTCAGCCAGCCCTGAAAATAGCAGAGATCTACAAATTCATGGAGACAGAGCCAACAGAGGACCAGATGTTTACTGGGGCTGTTTTAAAGATACAGAAGCAACTACATGGTAAGCAATTGTCTATTTATTTTTATTTCGTTTTTGTACCACCCAGTAGCCAAACCTCTGGGTGATTCACAGTGATAATTCCACCATCTGATCCTTGTTGCTGCTCAGGCCTGACCCCGCCATTAAGCAGAGTGAAGCACTAGATTTGGGCTGTCATAAAAGAACAGAAACAATCAACTATTTCCTTGTTTCTTATTGCATTTTTACCACCAGGCATGAGGGGAGATGCTACCAGAAACCCTTCTCGCATGTGCCAAAATGACTTGCTTGTCTTTGGTATTGTGCGCCTAAACTTGGATAGGTTTTGTGCATCCTCAAGCAGCGAAATGCACTGGGCAAGCCTTGGCTCTGTCCACAATGCACAACTGCAAAAGTGTGCCTAGTCTGCATTTCCAAAAAGCTTCTGGATTGTTCTGAATGGTGCCTGATCACCTCTACTGCAAGCAGGAGTGGCTAAACAACCCATCAGTTTGGCATTATGTGCAGACTGGGGCCTGCAGCTTGTCTGTCCCCTGATGATCTGGAGAAATAATTCATGATTTCTTGTTGGGTTACTTCTCTAGCATGCCAGGCAAGAGACAATTAAGGTTTCTGGTCTGTACATAACAATAAACAAACCAGGGGTGGAAGATGTCGTAAGTAAGCAAGCAACAGCTGGGATACATCCTAAGGGAAAAACTTGCTTGTCCCATGGTCAGAAGCACTCCTGGGATTGTACCACTTCAGAAAAGCAGGTCAGGTACCACAGTTCTGAACACTCTGTTTGTGTGTACACATACAGCTTCATGCAGTGAGTGAACTGGGTTAAAATCTTAGCGTTCCAGAAAGGGGCCTCAGCACAGTCTAACGTAGCTTTTTACATGTGGGAGCATTAGAAACATGACCTCTCACCAGTCGTTTGAAAGTGCTCCATTCCAGAACGCTATCACCTCAGTTCACCACCTCATACTCCACAATCCTCATCACACAATTCAAGTCTTTGCTAAATAGCAAATCCTAGATCACTTATTAGCACCCTCAGCTGCTCATTTCCAAGTGGACATCAAACCGTTTGTTCTCTTTGAGGTGGGTGGCTCATTTCAAACTGTTTCTTGTCAGGCATACACATTTCCCATGTTCCCTTTCAAGCACGAGCTCTTGTGATGAAATCCACCTTGGGAATTTGGGAGAAACCTTTATAGTCTCACGTTGCTACAGCACTTAACTACCAACAGATGGTTTGCACAACCAAGACCATTTTCAAGGCTATCATTTCGCAGCACCAAGCTTTTAAAATAATTGAGATTGAGTCAGCAAAAATATTGGAAGAAAATACGTGTGTGCACGCGTGTGCGTGTGTATTTAAGAACCAAGAACCCAAAAACAATAGGACTATTTCACTATGTACATTATATTTTGTTATCAGGTTACAGGAAAGCTGGAGGACGAAAGAGGGAAGAAGGAGAAAGGCATGTTATGCTTTGAGTGCTGTGTAAGCCATGTGGGCAGCAACAGCTATTACATAATTAAAATAACCTTTTGAATGGTTTTGAGTTCTACCAGAGTCAATGTTTTTGGACTGCTTGTTGAAAGTGCAAGTGACATGTAGGGAGTCAAACCTCTGAGGGAAGGAGAAACGAGCACAATTTCTTAGCTGTGAGATTCTACCAAAGGTGTGAAACCCTACACTAAGTTAACTGTTGGCTTTAGAAAGCATAAGTGCAAAAGCAAACAAAGAGCAGTAAATGAAGAGTGATGATTTTGTGGGGTGAAGGACATCCCTCATTGGAAAGTTGATTTTTGTGGTCACTGCTGAATAGGCTCAAACACAACTTACCTGCCTGTTGGAAGGGGTGCTTTCAGGATTATTTTTTGGAGCTGTCGGAAGAAAGACAGATGACATGTTATTTGACAGCAAGACTTGTCCCTCCTCAGTGCAACATCTTAAATTAATCTTTAAAAGTGACATGGAGTAAATGAAGCTATTGCCTTACAATAACAAAAATCATATTCAGCACTAATGTCATGAGTTTACTCAGTGTATGGGAGACATTCTGTCCACTGGGCCATTTTTTCCTACACCCCTTCAAAAGCTGAAACTAGGTAGCAACAGTCATATATAAGTGGGATGGGGAATGGTGCTCAAAGGTGGAAGAAGCATGCCTGTGATAATGACCTGATAAGCCACTGGATAGTATCACCTGTCTGTCCCTTTCGTTCTTTCAGTTAGACCCGTCCCTTCACTTTAGCAGTCCGTGGGACAGAGCAGGATTTTTTTATTTAGGAGACTTCTATGCCGCCCCATTCGCCGAAGCCTCGGGGCGGCTCACAACCATAAATAAACTTCAAAATAGAATAATACAAATTAACAATATAATTTATAGGCAAACAGAACTGTCACCACCATGTTTACTTTGGGCCGAATTATCCAGATGATTGCTGCCTGAATCCGCTTCCTTTAACACCCTGATTCAAGACCTCTAATTATTTTACAAAGATGGGGCCACTACAGCAAGTTGTGTGTGTGGAGGCAGCCCATTCTAGAACAGGCCTATTAACTCTGAAGCGCAAAAATCCATAGGATTCCTCCACTGGGATGTATGAAAATCCCCAAAATGCCCGTTAAGGACAGGACGGGCTCAGTGGCCCTGAAATGCAGACTGATGGAAAGGAAGATGGAAGAAAAAGAGACTAAAACAGAGTGACTGGACTCCTGAACAGTCAGTCCTGCATGCAAGTCACTGCCTCTGAAGCATTTTTTTTATTTATTTATTTCCCGATTTATATCCCACCATTTTGCTTACAAAGAATTCAAAGTGGCTTACATAATTCTCCTTCTCTTGCTCTCATCTTATCTCCACAACAACAACTCTGTGGGGTAGGTCAGGCCGAGAGGCTGTGACTGGCCCAGAGTCACCCAGTTGGCTCCATGGCCGAGCGGGGACTCGAACCCAGATCGCCTGAGTCCCAGACCCATGCTCTTAACCGCTACGCCACACTGGCTCTCAGTATTAACATCTCAGTATAAAGACCCCCCCCCCCCCGCTGCACATCTTTATTACGAGCTGGTCCTCTTACTGTGGCGTTTCTTTGTCTCTGCTTTGTTGTCTTCTTTTGTTACTCCCAGGCAACCCATCAGTTCTGGAACTGTTAAAGATTTGTCATTATTCACATCACAGTATTCCACAAACTTTTTCACACATTTCTTGGGCTTGGATTTTTTCCGCAGGAATCTTTTAAATGGTTTGATTTCTTTTTTGCCAATGTCACCACTGGAATTTTTATCCAGTTGTTTAAAATACCAGTGAACAACTCTCTCCTCCAGGGTATGGTTAGGATCTGGTTCTGAAAGCCTGCAAAAGACAGAAATCCTTAAGTGAGCGTAGTCTGGACCATCAGATGCCAACTTGCATTCAGCTTCATCAAACTAGCTTATTTATCATACAGACAGGGTCCATAGCTTGGGAGTGCTCCTCCACCCGGAGCTGTCCTTGGAAGCCTAGGTGACGGCAGTGGCGAGGAGGGCTTTCCTTCAGCTTCGGCTAATCTATCAGCTGCGTTCCCTACCTGGAGGAGAACTGCCTGGCAACAGTGACACATGCATTGGTTACTTCCCGTTTGGATTACTCTAATGCGCTCCACGTGGGGCTGCCCTCGAAGAAAGTCCAGTGCAAGATGGCGCAAAATAGAGCTGCCAGGATACTGTCAGGGACTGGTCGTTATTCTCATAAAACCCCAGTCCTCTATCAGCTCCATTGGCTTCCCATCGAAGTCCGGGCTCAATTCAAAGTGCTGGTTATTACCTATAAAGCCCTGAACGGCTTGGGACCAGGGACCAGGATACCTAAAGGAACGCCTTTTTCCCTATTTGCCCTCCTGCCCTCTGAGATCGGCAACAGAAGCCCTCCACTGGGAACCCTCTGTGAAAGACTTTAGGAGACAGAGTACTTAGAGGAGAGCCTTCCCTGTGGTGGCGCCCTGACTATGGAATGCGCTCCCTAGAGAGGTCCACCTGGTGCCGCCATTATATGCTTTTCAGTGCCAGGTCAAGACCTTTTTATTTGGCCAATATTTTGACACATAATTTTAATTGTGATATGACTTATTTATATTTTAAATGATGCTCAGTGTGGAATAGTTAATTTATTTTATTCTGAAATAATGTTGTAAGCCGTCCAGAGATGACAGTAATGGATGGCATACAAATTTTTAAAATAAATAAATAATTCATGGTTCTATTGTTAATTAATTAACTAAAAACGGTATCCTCAAAAAGGGACTTCAATGCATCTCAGGAGTGATTTGGAAGCCCTCCAGAACTCTCAGGTTTGTGTCATTGTAAAAACGTATCCATGTAACTTATCATGCACAGGGACACCCCTGCAAATGTTGCAAATTTTGTTTGTTTTCTAAGGGAGAGAAATCAGCCGGATCACTGACTGTTAAAGGGGAAGGAAAAAAGGAGAATGTACTTCCTTTATGATTTACCTGTGTGACTGAAGGCAAGATAGTTATGGGACAAAAATGCCAAATGACTGAATTATAACATTTAGTGATGAAAATTATGATGACTCTGATATAACTCTGGTTTCCCCAGTGACAGAAGTAATAGTCACAGCATGGGCAAAGTGTGTTGCTGAACATTATATCTTGGCTCTTAAAGCACTTCTCTGCATTAGGAGAAAGGAAAGAGTGTTCTACTTGGCCCCAAATCAACAACTTCCAATGTCTCGAAATTGTAGCATGTAATATATTTGTACAAACTTTACAGTGAGAAATAGAGGCTATTTTCTTTTCCATGGGATGTTTAAAACTATGCACTGTGGAAAATAAAATGAAATGTTTTATTGGATGAATATATTGCCTTTGACTAACACCTTTCATGTGCTTTATTTCAGCATGCTGGCCCTGACCCAGCTAAAGCTAATTGTGATTAAGTCCCATTGAAACCAATGAAGGTAGTTAACTATGACTAGTTTGCTTTCACTGGACCTTTGTCACAATTATGCTTGGCTAGAAGGGTTTTGGAAGAGGCAGACAACTGAAAAATAGGGCAGAGCAGAGATTAAAAGCTTCATCAGGCAACTTCATGCAGGTGAAGGGGGGCTTAGACCTGGAAAGAAATTGATTGACCTAGTAATTCAAGCCAAATTTTGTCCAAGGGCTCCTCCCAAATTTTGTTCCATTGACTCTTTAGCATGTTTAACTCAACTAAATTGGGTCTATTTCTGATTAGATACACATAAGATTATTTCACTGTCAATCTATGATTCCCCTCCCCACGCCTGCAAATATATACCACATCTGTGGGACACCTTTTAAACATTTGAGTCTGCTTTCAAATAAAGCACCTTTGAGGTTTTGCCAGACATCATTATTTCACCATGCCAGGGGAAATCCTCCAAATGGGAACAGCCTATTTTGATTTGAGATAAATGGCTTTGAAATTATCATTGTCTCTTCAAGACAGCTCTAGATAGGATATGCATTGTTGGTAGGCGGGGATCAGAATGAATTGCAAAGACATTTGTGTAAGTGGTGGAACGATCAGGCAGCTCAATGGATGAAGCAGGAGGTCAAAGAGGTGTGAAACTGAAACAGAAACAGGAGTTTCATGTATTGATTTGAACTTGCCTAAAAATATGTTGATTGGATCACTTCCTCTCCCTCTCCCTCACACACTCATCAATGTCCATCTGAAAAAAATTTGTTACCTAGTGCTTTACTGATAATATGTAAACAAAGATAATTGGAAAGAGTTTTAAAAAGTAAGTATCCTGCCTCTCTTATTTTTTTTTTCCTATCCATTTCTTCATGGAGCTCACAATGATTTTCCATCCAAAGGAAGCAACCAGGCTTAGTTAGACATTCCTAGATGAGCAGCACTAATGCAGCATTAGATGCTTCCTGGGCCTCACTGCCTTCTACCCTCTTTTAAAAGGCCTCATGTGGTTGGGTGTTGTATGCTGCTCCTTTTTATTTCAAAACTTTGTGATGGTAAAGGCTTTGTTTCTAAGAAAAAGTAAATAAAATTGTTTGGCACAAGCCCACCCAGAGACATGAAGTTTAGGACTGGATGGGTCTTTTAATTTTCTCCTCACTGAGGTTTCTGGATTTTTTGCAAAGGTTTGTGAAGGCTTTATTAAGATTTTTTTAAAGCCTGCGATCAGTTCACAAGTGCTTTGTGCTCTTCCCAAATAAATTCTGCAGGAAAAGGCACAAAATATTGTAGTGATGTTTAATAATGTTTTCTTATCTGTATTATATACTATATTTTTATTTGTCGCATTAGCTATTTGGTGGCAGAAAAATAAAATGTATGAGTCTCTTTGCACATGCTTCAAATATATGGATTTCCCAAGTATTTGCCCATTTACGTAAATCAATTTGGTGTATACTCTCTGCTAACATGCAAATTTGTGTGTGTGTGCATTGCCCCCGCCCCCCAGTTAACTATATCACTAAATTCAGAAAAGTTTAGATTTCAGCATGCAGCTTCATCTTGGCTTGGGAGGTATGAATTTGGTAAATTTGTATAAAAATCTAAACAAAACAAATTTCTCACTTATCCCTAGTCATGTATTCGATGGAAATTTTTCTCTCAATCCCCAATATATGATAGGAGGCAGAAGGTACTCAGCAAAGGAATTCAAGCTACACATGTTCTTCCTGATTTTTTATTTTTTTTTTACATTTAAAAGATCACTGCGGTATCATGTTTTGAAGTATTTCAGTCACATATTAATAAGCTTCAGCTGAGTTCTGTAGAGGCCAAGCCAAATGAGTGTACAACATTTAGGATTATTTGCTGAAGCACTTAGCACAATTCAATATCCTTGAAGCCAAGCTAGCCTACCTGCTGGAAGAAGCTGCAGGATCGGAGACTGCATGCACCATATCCGTAGAGAGGGCATCCAGAACACTGGTCAGAAATTCATTCTTCTTGGCCCCTGGGCAGCCTAAAACAGAAACAGTTTCCTCCACTTAATTGTTGTTAGGAGCTATGCAGACCTACAACTTGGAATTCAAAGTCACCTTTGTGTAATGTTTGGGTCTGATCAAGGCTGAACCATATGAGGTACAGAACTTCTCCGCGGATGATTATGAGTGTATTATTATTTATTTCCTTTCTATACCACCCATAGCTAAAACGTTCTGGATGATTTACAACAAAGTAGGACAGCAATAAAATATAATACATAAACCATTAACATGAATCAAAATTAATTTAAAATAGCTCAAAATACATACAAAGACAATTTAAAAGACCCTGCCAAGAATAAAAGAAAACCACCTGGTTAATTGTATAAGGCCCCAGAATGATCAGGAAGGTCTTTAAAGGCCTCTGCAAGAGGGCTGTCTTAGCGTGGCACCGATTAGAATTAGATTTCAGACCAGGACTGTATCCATCTAGATATAGCCTATCTAGCCTATTCAAAGATACCAAGGTTGCAATCCTGTGAAAAGACTTTTAAACGCCATTCATTTCAATGAAAATTTTACCCTATAACCTGTTGTTACAGTGAGCTGAGTTAAGATGAATAGAACTATATAAGTACATAATAATTGTGGCCAAAGTTAAAACTGCCTTAAAGAGGTAAGCAAAAGAAATTTAATTATAGAATATTGGAAACATACATTAGCAATGGCAAGACTATGTAAAAGGATAACCAGCCAAAGAAATTAATTCAGAATTATTCTCTGTGCTGATTATATTTTACTGTTCATTTTGGAACTTTGGTGTCAGTTCCTGCTTCAATGTTCTTGACCAATACTTTGCCAGGATATTCAATTAGGTCAAAGTCTGAATGAATATCTGTTGCAGATATAATCACCTGCAATGGCAAATTGGCAAATTCTTGTTTCCCAGATCATATGATGTACCCCAGAGATATATCTCAAATGATTAAGTGATTTAATTTGTCTTAGCTATTGTAGCTGCTTAAATTTGGTTTGAAATTTGGTTTTTAACTTTTGCAGTGCATTTCAGGATGTTTTCTTATTATTTGTATTTTTATTATATTTGTATGTGCTGCTGTATGCTGCCCAGAGAGCTTTAGCAACTGGACAGTATAGAGAGGAAAATAAGTAGCATAATTAGTGAAATATTGATAAACTGATTAATGAGATTACAACTGATATAGATAGATCAGGGGTCTCAAACTCAACTTACCTGGGGGCTGCTGGAAGTAGAGTCTGAATGAGGCTGGGCCGCATCAAGTATTCCACCACCGTGGTGGTGGTGGGCCGCTCATCCCGCGGCTGGCCTGGGTGCTGCTGGTGCTTTGAAGGCCGCAGAGCCCCTCCCCCATGCCCTGCCCATCCTGGCAATTGGCCCGTGGGCCGCGAATTTTGAGACCCCTGAGATAGATGAACATCTTTAAAGTTAAGTATGTGGGGCAAAGTAAATACATTTAAGATGAATATTACACTCTGAATTGTGTATGCTTTTATGTGGGGTTCCTCTTTTAAATAGAAACAGAGAAAGTCAGAAGGGGCCTCCCAGGCCATCTAATCTGACCCCTAGCTCCAGCCGGCTCCGCTCACAACATGCCCACCATGTGCATGTCCAGCCTGTCTTTGAACACCCTCACTGATGGGGACTCAATGACCTCTCGTGGAAGCCTATTCCATACACTCGGGGTCCTAACTGTCAGGAAGTGCTTCCTGGCATCTAAATGGAACTGTAGTTGTAAGACAGGTGTGGAATTCAATAGCATGTCAGTTTGACCCATTTCCCATGCTAAATATTGGCCACAATGTCTCTTCAAAGGCCTGTCTATGTCAGCAATTTGTTAAAGGTATGATACAAATAAAGCTTCCTTTACCCATATGCTTTGGGAACATCCAATAATTATCTCCTTTTGGGAGGAGGTTCTAATATGGACCAATTTTGTATGGAAATCTCTTTAACATTTATGGGTGGATATATTTTACTTAATTATCTCCTGCTCCTTCAAATCTAATACAAGGTCAACATAAATGGATTTTCTAGTGTGCTTGTAACAGGTAAATTAGTGACATGTAACACTGGAAAAAAATAGCTGCACCAAATAATGCAATGGATAGAGAATTTATTGATTCTTTCAGCCTTTGAAGGGTGGTATTAAGATATCACTTCAGCAAATAGAAATATTTGGCTTGCCTTTGCTGAACGTTATGCATAACTATTTCTACTGACAGTAATATATACACATAATGCATACACAAATAAATTCCATATGTTATTTTAGCCTTTATGCCATGTAAATTAATTCTATGTTTTTAATCTTTTCTGGTTTTCTTAAAATGTCTTGAAATTCACCATAAAAATGTGTGTGTGGGTGAGAGAAACATAGAATTCCCACCAAACAGCCTGCACCTGTTTGCTCAGGATGTATGCCTGCTCCTTTCCAATCTTAGAGAAGCTCAGCCTCCATATTGCTAGTTAGTTGCATAGTTACGCATAGTTACGCCTCTATAATGCAAGGGAATTGCCTAAATAGATTTCTGTTACTTGCATGCCACAAGAATGAAATATGTCTGCTGCAAATGTGGTATATTATAAGAAAGAGGAACATCTGCTGCATAAGTACAGACATAATAATATGTGATAGTTGCTGCTTTAACAAAACCATCAAAAACTTAATCATTCTTTGGGCTCAGCAGCTTGTGTAAAACTATATGCAGTTTCTGGGGTACAAACATCCAGGTTACACACAACTCATACTTAGGAACATGCAGACTGCCATAAACCCTTATTCATGGGATGTGACATGGGATTCAACCTAAGGACATTCTCAGGAACAGAACTCCTTCTTAACCAGGGACTACCTGTATCTACTTCCTTTGCTTAGGCATAGGGTATATTAAATAATCAATTCCTGCCACTGTTTTATAGGCTAAACATGTTTAATCAGCCCCTTTGTTTTCTTTCCTCGAGTATTCTCCTTTTCAGTTTAGCATGAGGACAGTAGAGTTTTGATTTTGATGTCAGTTGAAGATTCAAAATATCTATCTGACTTTAAAGTCTGCATCATTTGTGGCTGGGCAAACAGTCCACTCGCCATGGCATAAACTGATGGGTTTTCATTATCAACACTATTTGCTGGCATTCCAGAAACATTTATAAACTTTTCTACACAAGAAAACAACCCTATTCTCCAAAAACAAAGAAGCCCCTTAATAAGTAACTCTGAAGCAAACATAATTATTTTAGGGTAAGTACCACGGTTTAATGGATTCCCTCTTCAAACAAAGTGCACAAGCCAACTGCATATGATACACAATTGATACAGTGAGGCATGCCTAGGCAAGCAAAATATTATTTAGAAACAATAAATATTGCCCTATATTTCCCATAAGCCAATATCTATTTCACATAAGACAGTATCTAACTTATCTCCAACCAGTGAATTAGCTCAATATTTATTCTCTTCAAACTGCACAGTTCTGAAATTGAATTATATAAAATGGAGCATTCTAGATTTGTGGTTTCTTTATATTCTGTGAAGTACAGATATTGTAGGAAAAGGTTCAAAACTTCAAAATAAGGGTTGTAAGGGCTGCCTAGATTAGCAATGCTATTCAGATGGAAACACGCAGCTGCTACATTCCTACCAGGTCTAGCATCTGTACATCTATACCCTTACAACTAATGCAGAAGCAGAGGGGACAACATCAAGACAGCCAGACAGGGGGCATTGTTAGAATATCTGACAACCTCTTTGTTTTCTAGGTTTGAGTTCATACCCCCAGATGCAAGGTGGTTCCAGACAAGTCTTTATCATGCACTTATCCTGCATCATTCAAGGAATTTTGTGGAGTTCAAACAACAGTCGATACCCTAATTCCCCTGTGTTTTCCCAACAGTTTTTTCATCATTTTTCTTATTGTAGGAAATACAGTAAAGATAAAAAGATGGAATAGTTGTGGTGCTAGAATCGTCTGTCTGGAAGTACCCTCAGTCAACCCAGTTTCTTAGCATTTTAGACAAAGACAGAAAGCGTGCAGCTCATTTAAATCCACTTAGAGTTTAACAAAGGTTTGTGACATTTTTGAAGTATTCCAATTACAGAAGCATGACGATGAAAGAGGAGTTATTATTCTGTCACAAACAATAGCACACAAGAAGCTGCAGTGTTTGGCAAACTGAAAATGAATTATATGAATGATTATCATAATGAAAACAGGATAAATAAACTTAATAACCAAGGAAAAAGAGTAAGGCAATGACAAAGAGAATGATGATTAGATAAGACTGTCCTGGTTCCTCCTAAATAACCAAAAAGAAGTTTACATTTTAAAGTTGAAAAGATCAGATTGTGCCTTGGTGGGCCATATGATCTAGAGAATTGCTTCTCATAGTGACGAACTACCCTTTATTTTGGCCTGTGCATTTATTGGCCAAATCCACAAATGATCTTCATAAAACCTGGCCTTGTATTCCCAAATGGAAACAGAGCATGGATGGGGAGAACACGCAAGGCATAGGGTTTGGGTAGAAACATGTGGCACACTGCAGCAGCGAGGCATTGCAGTCTGAAAAGGATCCTGTTTTTGCTCACCTGTGTGCTTGGGCTGGGCCAACCCACCCATGTCATGTTGGCAAGGTGGAAGGATGCAGTCTACAGTTTGAGCCATTCCCATCGCTTTTACTGATCTGCCCAGGGGCATAGTTATGGTGCGTCTCCTAAGGGTGGCTGGCTCATGCTCTTATGCGCAGGGCCCTTAAGGCAAGCTATTTTGGAGAACCTCATGACAGCTGCAATCCAGCGATGGGCTGTTCCAAAGGTAAAAGTGCAAAGCCCAAAAAGCTAGCATATTTTAGTTTAAAGCTCTCACAGATGCTAGCATATTTTAAATCAAAGATCTCACTACCCATAACTAAGCCTTTGTAAAGGGGGGATGTTGTATGAAAGCAAAACAAACAACAAACAAACAAAAAGAACCCCTTATTGATCAGTTTGGGCTAGGAGTA